CCCCCCCCCCCCCCCCCCGCCCCCTGGTTCATTGTTTTTTCTCTTTTGGGAAAGTCTACAGTTTTTTAGTACACTTAACCACTTTGCTGCTGAAATTTATTTGATGTTTTAAATGATGGTTGTCCTTTTCTGTCTTTAAGTCTGTTCCTTAGGCAGTTTGATGGGACAATAGGATAAATGTTTTTCATAAATTATGCCAAAAAAACCCACTGTCCCGTAACTCCTCTCTTATAAAATCAATAGGCTTGTTGGATGCAGCTTTTCAGCATCATTTTCAACCGTACTGCCATTGTTAATGTTAGCTGTGTGAAGTTTTATTTTAACACTTCTGGAGGACGCTATGATGAAGAAGGTTGCCTCTGTGAGCTTTCATCTCTAAGAGCTATACCTTACTTTAAGTTAGAAACTTTTCTGTTTTCATTTATATTCATACCAGTTGATTAGGAATATGTGTGCATAACTAAAGCTTACTCACACGTATATACTTTGGCCAGAAATCTTGGCATCTGTGGAGGCAAGATACATTTATCAGTGATGTTAGAATAAACAGAAATTTGTAATATAATTTATATAGTGGATGGATATAATTTGATGGAGGAAGGTGGGGGGTCAGTGAGTAATGGCCCAGTCTGGACATTTGTGTGGCTTCTACTTCTTTTCCTCTTTTCACATTTAGAAACATCCCTCTGTGTTAAGTAGCCCAGAGTATACAGTGGATCTTCTTGGGGCATGTCTTTCCTGGGCCCCCAAAGACAAATCAAGCAAAAAGAATGTCTTGGAGGTAAGAAATTGTGGCCATTGTTGCCAAGTATGCCAGAGTTTAGGGAGAAGGAAAGAAATGACCCTCTTCACTGGACCATCTCTGCTACATGTAGCAAAATTAAAAGGCATTTCTCTTATTGCCACAATCACTTTAGGAAATGTATCTTACATTGCTTGGAGAAAAATGAGGTACTTTTTGTCAAAGGATAATAGGCAGCCTACTCCTGTGGATGAAGTTATGATGGGGGGTTCTCCAGAGCACCCTATCCTATAAGGATTGTGATAGCTAGCCTGCTGTTAAAGAGTCAATTTAGTTATTTTTTGATATGGATTACTGTTATGGGAATGCAGTGTGTTTTATCCTGTGTCTCTCATAAAATAATTCTAAAAACCTATGAAGACTTGCAAGTGCAGTCCTGTATACCACTCTGGAAATGGCACCACACTTGTGCGATTCTGTGCCATTGTTCTCTTTGCCAGCTGAGCCGGGTTATTTCTGACTCAACTGCAGTGCACCTCTCATCACAGTTGAAGTGATTTTCGCCCTTGAGATGTCTGTTTTTCCACTGGTGGAAACTCTCACATCATCTTGCTTTCTCCCCCGCCCCGTAAAAATTCTGCCACTGTAGCATCCTGGCAAGTTGCTATTATTTTACAGGAGTTTAAAATGCAACAGGAAGATAGTCCCTTGACAGTTTACACCTCACCTATATAGCAAACATTCTGATTTCTGGGGTGGGGGGAATCATCATATATCTACAAAACATGAAATTAAATTTTGGATGGGAAAACAGGCACTGGCGCTGCTGCTTTTTTTATTCTCCAGCTGGTCATCTGAAAGAAGGCTGTTGGCTCATGGCTTCATCATGATGGGGCCCGCCTCAGCTGCAAAACTGTTTATGAGGAAGTAAGAAATGGAAATGTAGATCTTCTGGAAATGCCCTATGTTTGTATACTGTATGGTACTCTGATGTGGATGGATTCAGTTGTTCCTGAAGCCAGGAAATTATTTGATCTAATAAGTCTTAGTTACAGAAAAGCCTTCACACTAGCACAATGTGCCTTATTCCTGGTCTTGACTTGAGTACAACTAGTGGGAGTTTTAATCCACAGGGCTAAACCTCTGACTGAAGGCAGGAATACTTTTCTGAGACTGGCATATTCTTTATGGTGAACACTGGTGTGCGGTGTTACAGGCATGATCAATATAATGGTTCCCGAAGTGTAAGGTTGCATACCAAATGAAAAGCAAAAAAACCCCCAAACCATACAGTACTGTTGACAAGGGACACAGTTGATTTGGAAGCATGGAGTTTGTTGTTTTTGGAGGGGGGCGGGGGAGCTACCTATAACAGCCGCAAGAAAATGTAATCCAGTAGTAGCCAGTATCTCTCTCCGTGTCTATATAAAAGGAAGTTTCATTCAGAAAAAGTCGTTTTCTATACACACTGAATGCTTCCTATTTGCAAGTTCCTCTTATTTTATTTCTTTCATATCATAAAATTAGAAGGAAATTGCTTCTTGTTTACTTAGCTTCTGTTACTCACAGAGTGAATAGAATATTATATTGTTTCTTTCAATGTAGCAAAACAGCTGATTTCACTACTACAGGAAGAAGAGGTGAAAAAATAAAAATAAACTTTTAATTTAATACATCCCTTTTCCCAAGGAAAAGGGTTAACTTATGCTTGTGATCACGAAAGCACTGATCTGAATTTGCAGATTGAAACTTTCAGTTTAAAAAGAAAGTTACCCTAAATTCATCAGTACCTCCATGTTGAATAGGCTGATCCTGCAATTCGATTTTTTTTTAAGTTTGTATAAAAAATGGAGGATGATATGGAAATACTAAAAACAATAATTCAGCAATGATGTTTTATGGATTTCCTATAAAATGTGAGTAAAGGAAGGACAGCAGTCCATAATGTGAAAGCAGCTTTTATTTCAGCATCACAGTGTCACATTGGAAAGAACATAAACTGAATAAATTATTTGTTGCAGGATGTGGGTATTCTTTGAAAAGTGACATTTCACAGAAAAACTCAGTTGAACACATATACGACATATCACCAATATTTTATGCTAAGTGTTAAGAGGGAGTTCCAAACCCAGAGTTTAAAAAAAATATTGAGTGTGTGTGCATTTGAGCAAGTCTAAATGCTTTTTTTTCACTCCACCTGGGGTTAGGTTGATAGGCCAACTTTTCTTCTGTACTTTTTCTGGAAAAAAATTGGGGCTTCTTATGACTATAGGGCATGTGGCCAGCGATATGAAGACATTCTTAAAACAAGTGACATGTTTAGTCCTTTATATTTTTACAGGTGGGATTTTTTAAAATACAAAATGAATTTTCAGTACTGTGATTTTGGGAGGGGGGTCTTTTTTAGTATTAAAGACTTAAAATATGTTGGAGGCTTAACATACCAATGTTAAAAAACAACAACACAGCATTGACAACTCAGTTTGACTCTGAATTTCAGCAGCATAATATTGAGAGACTCTGGCAGCCACCAAACTGCATGGAAGGGAAATATATATTTCAGTTTACAGGACAGAATTGCCTGGGCAAAGATGAGGCTTACAGGGTAGTTTAAAGTCTGATACTTTTCATCTTAGAAATGTAGTAGTACTAGGATATGCTAAATAATTGATACTCCATACATTCTTACAATTGGTCCTGAATTAGAGTACTTTTCAATGTTCTTTTGATTGTGGGGAACAACTTTCACCCAGGCATCACATGCAAATGCTTGTTCTGTTGTAGCTGAAGACACGGGATGGCTCAGAGTATTTGATCCAACATGATTCGGAGTCCATTGTCAGCATGTGGCACAATGCAATTAGTAACAGCATTAGCAGACTGGTAGGTCTCTCGTTGCTGAATCTATGCTACACCAAATGAAAGGGGGAGCTTTTTCATACATATAACAGGGTGGGAGTCATCCAAATGATACAGTCCACCTTCCCTTAAACTTTCAGAGCAGAGAGATACAGATATTATATCATGTCATGCTCCCATGTATGGGGCTTTAGCCTTTTCAGAGGTTACTGAACTACAGCACTTCTCACCACTGGCTGTGCTGGCTGGCATTGCTGGGAGTAGCAGTGTCTGGAAGCAGTGTCTGGAAGGGTATAGATTTCTTATTCCTACCATACAGCATGGTAAAGTTAAAATCTTTAGGTTATTTTTTACACTTTGTTTCCTGAATGTAAGTCAATTCACATCCAGATCAGGGGCGTTTAGGAGTATTGGAAGGAGGTTTTTTTAATTTAAAGTTTCTTTATGCCATTTCAAGCATATCCTTTCTGCTAGGAAATCTTTTTTTTTTTAACAGCATAACAGTTTTGAACACTCTGGGGGGAAAAATACAACAAACTTTTTCAGTGCTAACCTAAGCATGTTTACTCAGAAGTAATAGCACTTGATATGAGGCTTCTGTGCCAGTTTGCAAACAGCCCTGGACCTCGGTATATTCTTGGCATCTGTAGTTTTGGAGAGCTGAGGTGATACTTTCCTGGCGCAGCTGCAGACGGTGTAGTGGAAACAATGGTAACACTATTTGTGGCTCCTCTCTCTCTTGGGGGTATTTGCTGAGCTTTAGGTCCTGCAAGCGTAATGTTATTTTAAGAGCTTTTTCCTTCATGAGCTCAGATAAAAGGAGAAGGATGCAACTGGTAAAGAGTTTTGTTGATTTCTCCTTCTTTTCAGCAGTGAACAAGCTGGAATGACATAAATGTATGCAAAACGTACCACTGAACTTCACATGCACTCAGTTAGGCAACCCGTTTGTGGTTTTTGATTTCCTGTTCAAATAAATGGAAGAAAACCACACACTGAGCATGCTTCCAGGCAATGCTTTTTTTCTGCAGTTGCTCTGCCTCCTTCATGGGATTTTATAGGAGCATCCAGATGATGCTCACTTTCATTTGTAAACCTCCCATATTTGTTACTACGGTACCACTACTGTTGTTGTCTGCCCCAAAAAAGGAAAATAAAGGAGGGAAAGGTTTACTGATTTTGGGAGAGACTGGCGATACTAGGATTCCATAGTTCTTCCAGCATGGGGAAGGCATCCTGGCAGACATAACAATTGCTCTGTATTTCTTTCAGCCTACAGATTTCCCTTTGGAAGAGAGCGAGGATAATTTAGCAGATCTGAAATCCAAGGAACAAGTAGGAGGGAACAAAGAAAAAGAAAGTGAGAAGAAGAATCCAGGTCTGTGCTCTGTTCATTGGCAAAGTTATGTTGACAGCAGTGGTATAGTTTTTGATGAAAACTAAAATGGAAACATCACACATTTGCAGATTAACAAGTTCAGTGAATACCATGGACATATTTTATCCACAGATACATACTAGACCTCAGTATTCAAGACTTCTTAATCCTTCGTTTATCTAAGATCCTTAAAGAGGATTTAGTAACCGGGATCTTTAATTAGGACTTCAAGTAACTATAAAATTAAGGTTCGCTACTGAGTTAAAATTTGTCTGACAATTTTCTCAACAGGTTGGACCTTTGTTTTTGTTCTGAGTTCAGCAATGAAACACTGAAATGCAGGCTGTTTCTTTGTTTTGCTTCATTTTAAGAGATTCAGCAAAGAAATGGTGAAATGCTGGCCATTTCTGTGATCCTTTTTTTTACCTGAGTGGAACTGACAAAGAGTTTAGTCATGTTTCCTTTTCCAGCCCAAGTGATAGGAAGAACTGTTGTAAAACTTTTTTTCCAGCAGTCTTCAGAAGACATGCCAATAAAAAGGAGAGCAATTGGCACTTGCTTTCCTGGCATGGGTGGGAAGGAAAAAGAAGTAGGGGACAGAACACCTGACTATCCGTGTGGCCAAGGGGGAGGACCTGGTTGAAATCCAGAAAGGAATTTCATAAGGCAGTTTAATTTTCAGCTAGTTTACGCACAGATCAGCAGCTGGAGGCTGCAGTGTGGAAAACCCCAAGGAGGAGGCAACCCCAAGGCTGTAGCATGCAGAGTCAAATACATTGAAAGAGGGTGTGTTTCTTTACAAGTTGTGAAACAGGTTTCAATATGAATTAAAGAGAAATAATCCTGGAATATGAGGATTAAAATTAAAATATAACAGGGCAAATTCTGTTATATTTCCAACCTATTTTCCTCCAAATGGGTGGGATGTTACGGAAGGTTTAGTTCTACACCCCCAAAAGGCATCAGGTTGAGGGAGAGTGCCTTACCAGATTGCAAGCTGTATCTTCGAGATAGTCTGGATCCTTACAAGCTTTTGACTGCTCTGCTTGATCAGGAAAGGAAGGGTGCTTACACAGAAGATCCCCATATTGATAAAGCTCCTGTCATTCCGGAGGAAGAGTGGTGTATAACTAAAATAAATATGACTACTGCTATTTGTAATATAGTAGTAATGATAGTATTTTTAAAAATAGTAATTGTCCATGCATGATAGTAGAATCCCCTTTATTCTCTTTCCTATGCTGTTTATGTATTGATGTTTGAATAGTTGTAAAGGTGAAGTCTCCTTCAAGTTGAGCTTGATTTCTAGTGATTTCATGAATGTGTCTATATAAGTACTCTTGGCAGCAGTACAGAATAGAAACCAGCAGAAAGCCATTTGTGAATTGATTTTACTCTTTCAGCTAAAACACTATACATCCTTCCAAAAGACCTTTTTTTCCCAAAACAAATGAACTTCTAGCATCACCTTGATGGAGAAGTTTAAATTTCCTCTTTTTTGCTGCTTTTTTTTTTCCTGAAAGACAAGGGCATATTCAAGTTTCCGTATACCTTTAAAGCAATGCTCCCACTCCCCACATGGGTACTCTAATGCCAATTGTCCCCTTGCAGCTTTCTGGCACCCATCCAGCTCTCTCAACTCGGACAATGACTCCAACAAAGTCCGCAACAAGCTCCGGAAATTTCTGTTGAAGCGTCCACCTCTGCAGTACCTGCGAGAGCGAGGCTACATTAAAGGTATATTCCCAGGAGAGAGACAACACTGTTCAAAAAATGGCTTTGGAGAGTCACTCCAGCCCACAGTTGGCGTGCCATGTCATTTGTAGCTATTTTAAATACTTTTAACATTTAACTTATGGGGCTCAACCATCACTTTCCAGGGCAGTACTAAAATCTAAACAGAAGGATATTAATTTGGAAAATGATGTGATCCATCTTTCTTGCCGGATTTGATGTGCTTTTTTGTTTCTGTTTAAATTCAGATCAGGTGTTTGGATGTGCTCTCCAAGTTCTGTGTGACCGTGAGAAGAGCACAGTGCCTCAGTTCGTCAGGCAGTGCATCTCCACTGTGGAGAAAAGAGGTATGCGATGCTCCACATCTCACCTAAGGTGAAAATCTGAGCCCAGGCGATCCACATCTTCAGTTTTATGATGTGCATGCATTATGCATCTTGATCAGAATTTCTATAACATTTACATTTTGTGTCACGCATTCTGGTTTTGTGACTCATAAAAAGCTCTGTTAAGTTGCTTTTTATACTGAAGCAAAAGAAGTGAAAGTGTGAGAAAAGACCCTTACTTTACACCTTTTTTTCTGTTGTGGAGATATGGATAATAGCTGCCATTTCTCTCCCTCTCAGGCTTGGATATTGATGGACTTTATCGGATAAATGGTAACCTGGCTACAATACAGAAATTGCGCTACAAAGTTGACCGTGGTAAGCCACTGTGACTTGTAAGTGGGATAGTTTAGTGAGGCATAATGCCCATTGCCTGTAGAAGATCTCAGGGTCATCCATTCCTGTGGATACATTTGAGATGTATATAGCAGGCTTCCTGAAACCTGGACACTGTCCAGATGTTGGTATCAACTTCTTTGTCTGATCCCCAATGCACTGCTGAGGCACTCTGAAGCTAGTAAAAGATATTCCAGCAAGAAAGAAATGTTTCTCATCCTACTGTCCGTATGCCACATGGACATACTAGGATGCATGGAGGAGCCCTCAAGGGGTCAGGAATCAGCACCAACTGACCCAACTTCAAGCCTGAAGCCATTTTGCCATGCAGTGCTTTGCCTCACGCACTAGACGAAGCAAGGTGAGGAATATCTAGCTCAGTGTTTTTCAACTGTGGCAACTTTAAGATGTGTGGACTTCAACTCCCAGAATTCCCCAGCCAGCATGCTGGAAGTTGTAATCCACACATCTTAAAGTTGCCAAGGTTGAAAAACTTTGATCTACCTCAACAGAACTTTTTTAACACTAACTAGTCCCACTCTTAGGATTATAGCTCCAAGTTGCTCTCCAGTGGAGCTGAATTTACTCTCTTCCAGAAGCTAAGTGCACTCTGCTCACTTCTGAGGTGATTGAAGGAGGTCACCTTCTCTTCTTTAGCATGATTCTGGAGCAAATCTTAGGTTGTTCTCTGGTCCAAGAATTGTGAATAAAGGCTGATCCAAGAATCAGTTATGGCTGCAATGCTATCATTACCTTTTTCTTCAGTGCTGTGGATGGGATTTTATAGCCTGATGTCTTGTCATTAATTTTGCAGATGAGCACCTGGATCTTGATGATGGCCGTTGGGATGATGTTCACGTCATCACTGGGGCACTCAAACTCTTCTTCCGTGAGCTGCCTGAGCCACTCTTCCCCTTCAGCCATTTCGACAAATTTATTGCTGCCATTAGTAAGACAATGTTGTACTCTTGGGAAGGATAAGAGGAGTATTTAGAGGCTAAGCTGAATATAAGTATCAAAGCCTTAGCTTTTTTGGCTGAATGGCATTACCTCCTATAGCTTAGGTGTGGGCAGACTTCAAAATCTACATCGTTTTTATGTTTGTTTGTTTTTTGTTTTGTTTTTACTGAACACCTGAGATCCACAAATTGTAATAGGGCAAAATGTGGGTGTGTGTGCGCCTTCGAGTCAGTCTTGAGTCCTGGTGACTGCCTGGATTAATCCATGAAGTTTTGTTGGCAATATTTTCAAAAGTAGCTTGCTAGTTCCTTCTTCCTAGAGAGTAACTACCCCAAAGTCACCCAGCTGGCTTCATGCCCAAGGCTGAACTAGAACTTCTTTAGAATTCTTTATAAGAATTATGAGCTCAGAAATCTGCTTTAATATCCTGCATATAAAAATCAATTACTGCTTCCCCAAGTTTTCTGTATTTCAATTGTTTCTCTTGTTGAAACAATTGAGAGTTAGAAATTGTGCTAATCTTGCAAATTACCTAGAGATCTATCACTAGATACAGGTCTATTCTTTATTCTGCCCATTCTGTGCTGTTGCTTATTTATCATTTAAAGCAGAGATGAAGAATCTTGTAGCAGTTGAGGATCACACTTGCTTTTTTTTTTTGCAATAATTTTTATTAAATATTACAATTAGAAAAAATAAAAACTATTGCAAACTACAAAAATATAAGAATAAAAAGAAAAAAGAAAAAGTGTAGAAAAGGGAAAAAAGAAAAAGAAAAAAAAGCAAGTATATAAAGAAGTAACTTCCCCTTTCGTCACAACAAGTATAAACAATTTTAGTAACTTATCACCATCTCTTAAAATACAACAAATACTCTCTTCATCCCATATCTCGTCTGTTAACTATAAACAAAATCCAAAAGCCTCATCATTCATTCCTTATCAGCAAAAGTCCATTAAAGGCTGCCAAAAATAACTACTTACCTATTTTAACCTTGATCAAATAAGCCAATTCTGTATTCCTTCCCTGTACTTTTAACAATCTTGGCTTTTAATCCCTTCAAATAATGTCCTAGAACTTGATTTCTCTTCTCTTCTCTTCTCTTCTCTTCTCTTCT